TGGTTGACACCGGTGACAGCGTGGCTGACACGGATGACAGCGTGGCTGACACGGATGACAGCTTGGTTGACACGGGAGACAGGGTAGTTGAGACGGTGCCAGGATAGGTTACACCCCGAGAGCATGGTTGACACGGCGACAGCGGCTATTACAGGTTGATTGACACGCCGACACGCAGCATGGACTATTCAACAGGACAGGACAACGCAGCGGGAAGCGGGCAGGTGTGGTGGGTCTGTTGTTCTCTACAGACGGGAGCGCGATCCAAGACGGATAGATCACATACATAGATATGTCATGTCCCACTGAGAAAGAGGTTTCTTTGACAGCCATTGTGCGTGTGCAATACTTTTATTTACCACCCCCCCCCCATCCTCTCTAGCTAAGTTATTTGTACGTAACGGGATCTGTGTGGGGGAATGTTTTTAACGTAGAAGTATCCCGTCCATTTACAGCCGCCCGTGTAGTAGGAACGCGCTCTCATCTGATGCTAGTGTGACGTAGTCAAATATGTACTGTCGTCTGTTGCTAGTGACGTATGCAAATAGGCGCTCTCGTCTGCTGCTAGTGACGTATGCAAATATGCGCTCTCGTCTGCTGCTAGTGACGTATGCAAATATGCGCTTCCGTCTACTGCAAAATTATGTAGTCGAATATGCACCTTCGTGTGTCGCTAGTGACGTAGAATATACGCTGTCGGCTGCTACTGCTGCTACTAGTGACGTAGGCAATCGGAATTCGGCCGAGAATCCGACTCTTGGCGTATGTTAGCTAACCGGCTATTTGATTTTTTTGCCGCTCTCTAAAACACCCGTATCGAATAATGCATACGTCGAGCCCGCTCAAGTTACTGTGATGACGTTCAGTTTCCAACTGCTGTATTTAGGTGAGCGTATGAAATTGCCACTGTTGAAAATAAAACGACCGTTTGAGAATTCGTTTATTCAAGACAACGCGTTTATTTCCATCTATCTGCTTCTCTCGCACTTTAATGAAAAATCACACGACCCAACCGGGTTGCGGGGCGCATCACAGACCACGTGATACACGGGGCATCGTTGATAATAGACTGGCCCGGCGTTCAGTAAGAGGATTCACGATTAGGGTGTAGTATTGGGCGCGTTTGTTACGTATGGGCGCCGGGAGCCGTCTACATTAAGCACGATGTGATATAGCTCGTAAACGAGTGGATTGAGTAGCGATTGTTTGCGTGATGAGCAGTGAAGGGTGCGCGTGTGCTCCCACGGTAATTTATGGCAATGATGGATCACTAATGCGCTTCATAAACATGCACGCACGCACGCAAGCATACAGGAACGTGCGAACGCACAACACAGACGCACGCACGCACGCACGTTCACATACATACAAACAACTAACAAGAGTCTATAATAGAAAAGAATAGAATGTTATATTATTAGCTCTTGATATATATATATACATTTATACCTTATGATTCTCGTTTCAAGTTATTGATTCCTACTCAGGCTAATTGAGTGTGGGGTTGCTATGATGACAACTGATTTGCAAAGTTTGTCTGATTTACTGGTATAATAACAGCTGGTATAAACTACTTGACATATAATCTATGTAAACGAGTAAAATGACTGCAAGGGTATAAGTTAGAGTACAATGCTTCTATATTAAATTGCGCGTGGCATGTTTATATATATCGTGGAACGACTTGACTACTTGACTAACCGCCCGCATGTTATGGTTTTATTCGTAGTAACGTGTTAGGGTCATGAGGTGTTACTCGATTTAAAATGTTCGATTTTGTATATTATAAACAAGTTGCAGGGTTTTATTTAGTAGTTCGTTAGTGCATGCCCATTGGTAAGGCGCAATTAAACTTTGTAGATTGTCACTAGATTGTATTTCTTACCGGAATACGCCACCAAAGGGCTGCAGGTAGGCCCTCTATTCCATCGGTGGGATAGAATCGGTGATTAGTAGTCGGTCTCTGGGAATCGGTATACTTAATTGTTAACAAACGCTCTGGTTTTGAATTTATAATACGGGTACTCCTCGTGTAGTGTTGCTGTGGTGTGTATTGCTATAGTTGCGGAACGTGCCTGTTAAAATGTCTATCGCAATGCTTTGGTACTTGCGCCATTTTGTAGCCATCTAAACACCTAACTGCTGTCAAATATATGTCACAACATATATATACATGTAATGATATATGTATAATTGATATAGCCATGAGCATATCTATAGTGTTGTTGTGTTCGTGCTGCTAGGTTATAAAGCAGTGCTGGGCCATGAGTGGGCGTGTGTGACAGACGCTTGTTCGCGTTCTTACTCGTTCCCACTTTTACTCCTGCAGCTAAAAAATTCTTTTATAACTGTTTTTAATGTGGATAATCTCTTTTGATTATTATTTTATCGATTTAATTGCGTCCTAAGTAATTGTGTTTAATTTCTCCGTTATATATGTTTATTAAACGTTATATATCAAAAGTACACATTGAACACATGTATTCATGATGTACATCTGGTGTACATTATTGTATGTGTGGAACTACCAGTCCACCCTAACTATATATTACTATATATTACTATATGTAGTTTGGGGCGCGGTAACTTGATGCGCGTCATTTCTTATAAATTCGCATATTTTACTATTTGGGGAATGATTAGATGATGTTACACGAGGAGTACCTGTATATAGCAGCTTCTGTTGGATACAACAAACATCCAATGTTGGATACAACAAAAATCCAGATACAACAAAAATCCAATGTTGGATACAACGAAATATCCCGAATTTGTCATAATATGTAAACATGTAGTCACTAATGGTAATCGTCACGAGGTGGTTACACATAATGGCAGAGGCCAGCACTACGGAAGAGTGATTCAGTCCACATACACACGCACACACGAGTAGTTAAGTTATTATTAGACCTCACTATTCGGGGTTGTGGTGAAGTAAGGAGTAACCCACTGCCAAGAGATTCCTTGTTAGTGCTCGATCCCCATCCCCACCCACACCCTACCTTGATCTTTGCGGGTATCACATTTGAATTTATGATATCGACACTAGTCATTTCTAGGTGCAGTTTTATTCGGTGGGTGATAAATGATTCGGAGAAGGATCGCTGTGTGTGTGAGTATATGTGAAGATTATGTGGCAGGGTTTCATAAATGATCGAGTGTTTGTTGAGATGTCACGACACTCTTGACGATTGCGTACCTGTTCAAACATGTGATGTGTGCTTGTATGTTACCGCTATAAACTCCATCTCGCGGAGGGTGTCTTCCGATATGGCTTCATGGGGGGAAAACCTACATTACCTGCTCTCAGTCAAGTCATATTCTGAAAATCCATTAGTCTAAAAGTAGTAAACGTGAGTGGATTGAAATTTGGGAAATGGATTTGCAGAGTACTTTGTAACCGTAATCATAACCACTGTTAATTTACAACTCGCGTGTGTTTTTATGGTGTCGAACAGAAAGCGAGAATCGCGTGATATCACCTCGATATTATCACCTCGCGTTATGACATTTATCTATAGGTGCGTCTCTGTGGGACTGCCTGATCAGTGAGCTGTGTGGAGTGTGAGTTGGGTGACTGTACGTATATACCGTATTGAACATATCTATGCATAAATACATATATTAGATATACACTGCAGTATATGTATATATATATATATATATATATATATAATATATATATACATATATATAGTATATATGTAACGTATTATATATAATACGTGTACATCTATATAATGGATATATTGCATATGGATATGTGCCCCACGATTGCCGGTGGCACACGTCGTGAATCAGTATCTGTCACAGGTAAATACGTCCAGCTTTGACACAGAGTAACGGGACACTGGTTCGGTCCTCACTCTTCACAAGCAGCAGATCATGATGAGATCACGAAGATTTCTCTGACAGTAGTCGGTTATATGTATATACATGATTATATATATATATATTATATATATATATATATATATATATATAATGTGTGTGTCTGTGTGTGTAATGTAATATATATATAAACATATATATATCATTATATATATATATATATATACTATATATATATATATACTTCGCGTTGTAACGTTCTTTGATATTCTAATTTATATTAGAATACGTGAAATGACGCCGATGGCAGGGTTACCTGGCTCGTACTACCTGTTGTTTTTAGACCCTGGGAACCTCTACCGAGCAGTTCCAGACACCTGCCACCTTACTCATGCACTAAGTTCGCTAGTGCTAACTCTGATTATTCATCAGTACAGCTGGTGACAGCGTGAGTGCATGCCGATGAGCGTGGTTGTTGCTGTGACAGCGTGGTGGACACTGTCACAGTGTGATTGACACCGGAGACAGCGTGGTTGACACCGGTGACAACGTTGTTGACAGCATGGTTAACACCGGTGACAGCGTGGTTGACACCGGTGACAGCGTGGGTGACACCGGTGGCAGCGTTGTTGACACCGGTGGGCAGCGTGTTGACACGGTGACAGCTGTGTTGACACACTGCGTGGTTTGACACCGGTGACTGCGTGGTTGACACCGGTGACAGCGTGGTTGACACCAGTGACAGCGTGGTTGACACCAGTGACAGCGTGGTTGACACCGGTGACAGCATGGTTGACACCGGTGGCAGCGTGGCTGACACCGGTGACAGCTTGGTTGACACCGGTGACAGCGTGGCTGACACGGATGACAGCTTGGTTGACACGGGAGACAGCTTGGTTGACACGGAGACAGGGTAGTCTGAGAGCGTGCCAGATAGGTTACACCCGAGGAGCATGGTTACACGCGACAGCGCTAATTACAGGTTGATTGACAGCGCCGACACGCAGCTATGGACATTCAACAGACAGGACAACGCAGCGGGAACGGGCAGGTGTGGTGGTCGTTGTTCTCTACAGACGGGAGGGCGCGATCCAAGATCGGATAGATCACATACATAAGATATGTCATGTCGCCGCTGAGAAAGAGGTTCTTGACAGCCATTGTGCCGTGTGCAATACTTTTAATTACCCCCGCCCCCCCATCCTCTCTAGCTAAGTTTTTGTAGCGTAACGGATTCTGTGTGGGGGAATGTTTTAACAGTGAGAAGTATCCCGTCCATTTAACAGCCGCCCCGTGTAGTAGGAAACGCGCTCTCATCTGATGCTAGTGTGACGTAGTCAATATGTACTGTCGTCGCTGTTGCTGAGACGGAGCAAATATGCACGCTCTTCTGTCTGAGTAACTAAGTGAGCAATAATCAAATATGCGTCTCGTTGCACTGGCTAGTTGACGTAATGCATAATTAGACGGCTTCCGCTACTGCAACATTAATTAGATCGAAATGCTACCCTTCGTGTGTTCGCGTAGCCTCCACGTAGAATAATACGCTGTCGCTTGCTTCATCTAGTGACGTGGCAATCGAATTACGGCGGAGAAATACCCACTCTTGGCGTATGAATAAGCTAACCTGGTCAGCGTATTTACGATTGTGACAACTGAGCTTCTAAAAGCACCGCGTATCCGCGAAATAATGCAATACGTCGAGCACCGCCAAATTCACTGTGAATGGACGTCCTTCAGTTTCGCAACTGCGTAATTTAGGCTGAGCGTATGAAGATTGAACACTGATTTGAGAGAGAATAAACAGCAACCGATTTGAGAATCGTTATCACGACAACGACGTTTATTTCATACTATCTGCTACTTCTCGCACTTTAATAGAAAATCACACGACCCAACACCGGATTTTTGCTGGGCGCATCACAGACCACGTGATACACGGGGGCATCGTTGATAAATAGACTGGCCCGGCGTTCAGAATAGAGGATTGCATGGATTGGGTGTAAGTATTGGGCGCGTTTGTTACGTATGGACGCGGGAGCCCGTCTACATTCAGCACGAGTAAATATCAGCTACGTAAACGAAGGTGGATTGAGTTAGCGATTGTTTGCGTATTGAGGCAGTGAAGGGTGCGCCGTGTGCTCGCCAGGTAATTGTATGGCAATGATGGATCACTAATGGCGCTTCATGAAAACATGCACGCACGCACGCAAGCATACAGGAACGTGCGAACGCACAACACAGACGCACGCAACGCCACGCACGTGTCACATACATACTTAACAACTAACAAATAACTATCAGAGAATGAATAGGAATCCATTGGGGAGGGGCAAAATAATAATAGCCGTAGGCCTGTACAAGGGGGGGGAGAGTACTAATAGAGAGAAAAGAATAGAATTGAATAGAATTTTCTATTATGGACTTATATGATACTAACAACATCAACCCACGCACACACATGCTATACATACATAGTTGGTATAATTACTACATATATTAACTAAGATAGCGATAACATAAGTAGGGATTGTGTGATGAGCAACGAAGGGCGCACGCACGCACGCACGCACGCACGCACGCACGCACGACAGCACAACAGCACACACCACACAAAGTCGAACTCTAAAATTTACTTTATGCGCTCATCTACACTAACTATATCTCAGCCGATAGCGGAGTGATCTTATCCAGGCAATAGATTAAGAGTCCTGAATGTTAGTTTTGTGACTTGCGAAATGTCGATGTGACGACTTCGCCAACTTATCATGATAAGACAAAAGTGAGATATAAGTTAGATAAATGAAATGTGGAGAAAAGCAGAAGACGCCAAGGGCCCGAGAACTGCCGACTTAACTAGCAACACATAATCTTATTCACATGCAGAGACACCAACCAACTCACACACATCACGCACGCACAGCTGGCGGCGCGCGCGCACTATCACCAGTACACCACCCACACACATGACACGCACCACACACACGCAACGCGCTGGCGAACACATCACACCAAAACATTAAAAGACCCATAATGCGACGCACGCGCGCTGAAACAGCTACACAAACCAAAACACACACCCAAACATAGTCAGTCACAGCCGCGACCGAGAAACTATCACACTACTCTCACACACATGCGAGCAATTGCGATCTCACACACACACACCATCACCACACACGAGCAAGCCTATCTCAAAGCACACATCACACAGCCACACGCGCACACCCACACACACAACCCACACACACCCACACTAGCGCTGCCGCCCTTCGCGGTGCGCTCCCGAGCCCCGACCATACAGCTCTCTTTGAGTGTGCGAGACAATTTCTGACCTTTGCGAATATATGAATATATGAGTCAAATACGACGACCTGCGAAAAAATATAATGAATAGGATGCGTTTAGTGCGCATGCGCACTTTGCATAGAAGCCATGCGAGCGTGAAGCAACAACAAAGAGGAGCGGCGACGAGCGAGAACACAAGCCAGGGCGTCTGACATTCATTATCGATGGGGATGCAGAGGTAGATGGGGCAGCTGCATTAATGCACACGGGGAAGCTGGTCAGCGTATGCGGAGATAAAGTCAGAATTAGTCCTGCTACTTAGAGGTAAAGCAACGCGCTGGCCGAGCGGCCGAAATGATAAATCTGCGTTCACCGACCCCCCCCCGCGCCCCCCGACCCCCCCCCCCACCCTGCGGCCCCTCCCGCCCCCCCACCAACCCACGGCAACCGAAGCCCGCCCCCACCCCCAGGAGCCCCCCGAAACCCCCCCCCCCCCCCCCCTGTCGTACCGCGTGTGCGGCATTGTGCATGAGCAACGCCAACAGCTGATTACGGCTCGTAAACGTGACCTAGCACGGCGCCAATGCTACAGTTAGGAGTTGCGAGTTGCAGTTCTTCGCTGTCATGTGCAATAAATGCCTCCAGATGGCGCAGCGGCGGCCGCTGGGTGCTGTGACGGCGGAATGCAGTCGGCGGCGGCGGTCCGTAATACACTTACTTCGGCGCGGCATCCAGTAGCGCTACGACTCGTGCGCAGAGTCGCCGACACGCAGCTCGATTAGCAGCAGACCGGAAGTCGTCTGCTGCTGCGACCGGACGTCCGTCTCTCCAAGTGCCGCTCTCGTTCGTCTCCTCCTCTCGCACGACGCCGGCGGCAGTCTCCCTTCGCGCTCCCGGCGCGGCCCTCAAACAAAATCTTCCTTCAGCCAGACCGTCTTCGCAGCTGTAGACTCCCGCCGCGTCCTCCGCCCTCGGCTTGTTGTTGCGACCCTCGCTCGCGCGTGCGCTAGTTGCGCGGCCCGCCACCGCGGCGCTGCAGTCGGACAGGTGTGAGGAGACGTGCGCGGTGCGCGTAACGCCCCCTGGCGGCGCGGCGTTGCGCGTCTACCGCGTCCGCACAGCTGTGCGATCCCCGGCACGAGGTTGCCGCTGAAGAACAGATAGACCACGGTTCGTGCAGGCGTTCAGGTTGCCTAGCCAACATCATGATGGTCGTCGCTCGACTGCGAAGAAACAAAGGAACATGCGCGTGAGTAGCGAAACTAATTGGTAATGCCTATCCCACGGCGTGTGGGAGTGACCGCAAGTGTGGCACAACTAGTGTTGGATATGTTAGGATTAGGTAGGTCAGGTTAGGGTAGGTTAGGGTAGTTAGGATTAGGGTTAGGTTAGGATAGATTAGGTTACGGTGGTTAGGATTAGGGTTAGGGTTAGGGTTTTGCCATCATGATATCTGTCCCCACACCATAGATTAATTTTTGTGATCACAATGCCTATATATAGCGCGGCGACAACATCATATATTTAGTGCGTAGTGTTAGTGTTGGCGGTGTTGGAGTGATGGTTACGCGTTAGTGTTAACGTTTTAACGCATCTCACGTTATTACGTTACCTCCCTCCAACCCCGTGGATAGGCAACACACCAAGCCTAATCGTAACGAGCGAAATGTACATAGTCTTGCATGAGGCGAACAGCATGCAGGCTTTCTCAGGATACAGATCTTTTATTCGATGCACAGCACAGTTACAATAGCTAGTCGTATCTCCCCCTTCACATCTCTCGCCTCGCCTACATCACTTCTATCCACCCCCACCCCGTTTCCTTTCTCCTCTTCGGCTTCTCCCTTATATGTATCGGGCGTGGCTTTTCGGTGGACACGTGTTCTCCCTTACACGCCGGCCCTCTCGCCTATCTGTCCTATTGGTTGGTCTTCGAACATTGATCGCTCAAGTGATCGTGGTCACTCTTATGTCATTTTGGAACGTGTCCAAATCCAACTTTCCGGTTCCTGGCTGGCGGCCAGGTATTCCTGGTTATTTCGTATCTGCAGGCGTTGCTTCCACTGTCTCGTGACAATGGCTAATTATATTGGCCGCACTATATGCGTGCTCTCCAATACTAATGCCTCCCGTGGCCCTCTAAAACTAATCACACCATATGTCTTCCCAAGGGTTACCAATACCCATAGCCTTATGGTGTCAATTATTCAATGTGCAGTAAGACGATTTTATAATCATCGCCTCTCAAACTAAGTTCTCTACCGCGCGTGTGCCACTGTCGCTTGTCCTCTACATTCCTACATTTCGGTATTAAATTTCACTCGCAGGAATTTGCATCGCTACATAATTACAGTTTGTCGCATCAGCGCTGTTGAAGGTGGAGTATCGTTCTTTCCCGCTCGCGAGATGTTCTCCCTCTATATAGATGCTATACCTACATGCTGACATTAGACTATAGATCAATCGACAGGGACTCTGTGGCTAGTTAAGATGCCGTGTTCC